GGTCGCAGGAACCTCTGCCTAGGAAAGCAAGGTATTGTCCAAGGTTTCTCACCATGTGATGGTCTGAAATATGGCCTCATGGGAAGGGAAAGACCTGATCGTCCCCCAGCCCGACACCCGTGAAGGGTCTGTGCTGAAGAGGACTAGTGTAAGAGGAAAGAAGGTCTCTTGGCAGTTGAGATAGAGAAAAGCATCTGTCTCCTGCCCGTCCCTGGGCAATGGAACATCTCGGTGTAAAACCCGATTGTCTGTTCTATTTACTGAGAAAGCAGAAAACCACCTTAGGGCTGAAGGTGGGACTTGCTAGAGCAATGCTGCTCTTTATGCACTAAAAAGGTTTATGGAGATAATTTGCATATGCATATCAAGGCACAGCACTTTTCCTTAAACTTATGTCACAGAGATCTTTATTCATATGTCTCACTGCTAACCTTCTCCCTATGATGATCCTCTTATCCTGCCACTTCCCTTTTCTCAGATGGTAAAGATAATGATCAATAAATACTGAGGGAACTCAGAGACCAGTGCTGGTGTGGGTCCTCTGTATGCTTAGCATGGGTCCCCTGGGCCCACTTTTTCCTTCTCTATACTTTGTCTCTGTGTCTCATTTCTTTTCTCAAGTCTCTCATTCCACCTAATGAGAAATGCCCACAGGTGTGGAGGGGCAGGCCACCCCTTCAACCCTCTCTACTAAAGAGAAGTGGTGGCTCACGCCTGTAATCCCAGCATTTCGGGAGGCTGAGGCAGGTGGATCACCTGAGGTCAGGAGTTCGAGACCAGCCTGACTAACATGGTGAAACACCATCTCTAATAAAAATACAAAAATTAGCTGGTCGTAGTGGCGGGCACCTGTAATCCCAGCTACTCGGGAGGCTGAGGCAGGAGAATCGCTTGAACTGGGGAGGCAGCGGTTGCAGTGAGCCGAAATCACACCACTGCACTCTAGCCTGGGAGACAAAGCAAGACTCCGTCTCAAAAATAAATAAATAAATTCTACCCTGAAGCTAAGTTTTCTCTTCTGCAAAATGGGGATAATTACATTATCCTTGCGGTCTTACTTTATGGATTCAATTCATCATTCAACAATGATTCACAGGGCTGGGCGAGGTGGCTCACGCCTGTAATCCCAGCACTTTGTGAGGCCAAGGTGGGCGGATCACTTGAGGTCAGGAGTTCAAGACCAGTCTGGCCAATATGGTAAAACCCCGTCTCTACTTAAAATACAAAATTACAAAATTAGCCGGGTGTGGTGGTGCACACCTATTATCCCAGCTACCAGGGCGGCTGAGGCAGGATAATAGCTTGAACCCAGGAGGCAGAGGTTGCAGTGAGCTGAGATCGCACCACTGGATTCCTGCCTGGGGAACAAGGGCCGGAAACTCTGTCTCAAACAAAACAAAACAAAAAACGATTCACGGACTATCCTCCCTGTCCCAGGCACTGTTCCAAGTACTGGGGACACAGCAGTGAATTATAGTGATCAAAATTTCCACCCTCAGGGCAATCGAATCCGGGGAGGCAGAGAGTAAATAAACCAGATGAGAGAAATCCAGAGTGTGTCAGAGGGGAATCATTGGTAAACACAAAAATCTAAAATAAAGCAAAGAAGGGGAAAAAGAATGAGGTGAACATTAACACTGAGGCCAGTGAAGGCTTCGCTAGAATGGTGACACTTTAAGACAGGAAGGAAGGGTGAGGCACGCAGGCATATGACAAAAGAACCATTCAAGTAGAGGATCCAGAGGCAGTGCTCACCTGGGATGTGCAAAGAGCAATGTGGCTGCTACAGACTGAGTGAGGTGGGGAGGGAATAAGGACAGAAAGGGGCCGGGCTTGGTGGCTCACACCTGTAATCCCAGCACTTTGGTAGGTCAAGGTGAGCTGATCACTCGAGGTCAGGAGTTCCAGACCAGCTTGGCCAACATGGTGAAAACCCGTCTCTACTAAAAATACAAAAATTAGCTGGGTGGGTGCCTGTAATCCCAGCTACTTGGGAAGCTGGGGCACGAGGATCGCTTGAACCCAGGAGGTGAAGGTTGCAGTGAGCCCAGATCGTGCCACTGCACTCCACTCCAGACTGGGTGACAAGAGTGAGACACTGTCTCAAAAAAAAAAAAAAAAAGGACAGAAAGGACGTGGTGAGCGGATGCACAAAGAAGGCCTCTGTGTTCTGGCTTCTCCCAAGCTGTCCAGCCCGGTCACTCACTGTGACCTACCTGACATTCTAGGCCTCTGTACCCCCTGCTCCCTCCTTTCCACCTCTTTCTCTTAAGTTACCCTTTCCTCATCCCTCAGCTCAGACATCCCTTCCTCCAGGAAGCCCTCTCTGATTGTCCCAGGTGGTCAGGCACCTCTCCTGGGTGGCCCCAGCCCCCTGGGATTTCCTGATCCCAGCCCAAACCACTCTAGGCTATTCCTGTCTAAAGATGGGTCTGTCACTCCTCAGGCTGCACTGGAGGCTCCACCGGGGCAGGACCTATCTATGACTGAGGGCAAAGTCCAGCAAGTGCCTGTTGAATAGCCAAATGAATGGTGGGGCGGGGAAGTGTCCCAGGTAGAGTCCTCACGTGGATGCGGCAGCCGTCATCTACAGGGTAGGAGCCCAGCAGCGCATCCTCTTGATCCAGCTTGCTGTAGAACTTGTCATCAACACCATACAGCTCCAGTTCCATGCAGGAAGCAGGGCTTCCCACCAGCAACTCCAGTTTACACTGCAAGGAGGAGGCAGGGTGAGGAGGAGGCGGCCAGGGGCCCCGCCCCTTGCATCAATGACCATCGCCACGTCCCTGTTCCTCCAAAAGACCCCCCAGTCAGGACGCACTGGGCCGCACTCCGGCCCCTCGCCTCTTGCCCCCGCCCTCTGGACCGTCGGATTTTTCGCTGGACCCGCCCCTCGTCTCTTCACTCTCGGGTTCTCTCCGGACCCGCTCCGCCGCGACCGAGTTCCCGGACTCCGCAGCCTGGGATCACCGCCAGGGCCGCCCAGTCGCTCCCCGGTCCCTCCCCGCCTCCCCATTCGAGGAACCCCCCCATTTCTTCTTCGCCCCGCCCCTCCGAACCCCGCCCCTATGGCCACACCTTGAACTCAGCGATGGTGAGGCTGCGGCTGTACCGCTTCTCTGAGCGGAAGGTGTTGAGGGAGCTGCTGATGAAAACGGTCACCGTGGGTGCCGACACCCCCGTCACCTCCATCTTGCCGCGCCCTGCCGGGGCCTGCAGCGCGGTCGCTCCGCAGCCGCCACCGCCGCCGCTGCTGGGCTATCAGCCCCGCCTCCTGCTCCGAGGCTGACCAATCCACGCTCTCCTGCCAGGAGCGTCCGCCAATCGCCGCCGTCCCTTCCCCACCGCCAGAAAGAGGGTTCTCCTTATTCCTGGGCTAGCCCAGCCAATCCAGAGAGGCCTTCCATAGTTCACGGTTCTTCCAATAGCGACCGGGAAAGGACCAGAGCAGGCGGCGAAGACTGAAGCCGGGAGGTAGGACTGGCAAGAGCTCTCTCAGTGCGCGAAGGGCAACTCGCGCATGCGCGCTGCCCTTCAGCCTAGTCAAGCGCCATGGCTTCTTCCCTGGGTGCTCAGAGTTTTGCGGCTTCCAGTGCGCATCGTTTTCCCGGCTCTAGCACCCAGATCCACACTATTCTGTAAACTAAGGCGGCGATGCCCCAAAATTGGAAGCAATTACTCTAGAATATCAAAAGATTGACGCAAGCCATGAAACCTCCGCGCGGAGAGAGCCGCGCCCAAGGCCGCGGGGAACCAGCACGTGTGCGCAGCTCCGCCCTCTTTTGGCGAAGCACCTAGGCCTGGCCCCTCCCGCGACCTGTAGCGCGGCGGAGCAAGCGCAGAAGGCTGGGCGGGCTGCGCGTCGCCATGGAGCCCGACGGGACCTACGAACCGGGCTTCGTGGGTATTCGCTTCTGCCAGGAATGGTGAGGCGGAGGGAGCGGGTGACGTTAGAAATGGGGCGATGAATGGCTCCAGGACTAACCCCTGGCACCTCCCCCTCCCCACAGTAACAACATGCTGTACCCCAAGGAAGACAAGGAGAACCGCATTCTGCTATACGCGGTGAGCGCTCGGGTCTTCCCCGTCCGGTCCACACAAGTGGCCCCGCCCTGCCCCCTGCCCCTGTGACCGGACTCCCTGTTCGCCCCCCGCTGCACCCCAAGTGATCCTGACTCTCCTGCCCATCACCAAAGACAGTCCTGTCGTCATACCCTCCGGGATCACCCTGCCCTCTCCTCCCAGTCTTATCTGGAATCCCGCCATGACCCCCTCACCCCCACATTCGCCCTCTGGCAGTGCCGGAACTGTGATTACCAGCAGGAGGCCGACAACAGCTGCATCTATGTCAACAAGATCACGCACGAAGTGGAGTGAGTGGCGGGCCCTGAGCTGGGGGCGGGCGTGTTGGCTGTGGAGGCTGGGTCGGAGAGTAATTTTGCACCCCCGCGTGCCTGCAGCGAACTGACCCAGATTATCGCCGACGTGTCCCAGGACCCCACGTTGCCGCGGACCGAGGACCACCCGTGCCAAAAGTGAGCGCTCAGCTGGTACTGGGGAGGTAAAGTGAGGCTCGTTCTCACTGGGCGAAGGGAGGAGGGAAGGTTGCCAAGCTTCCAGTGACCGAGCTCCCACCCCCTCAGGTGTGGCCATAAGGAGGCTGTGTTCTTCCAGTCACACAGTGCCCGGGCCGAGGTAAGTGGCACGAGGGCTTCTTAAGTATCTGGGGCTTGTTTGGTCCTTCCCCGGGGCGGGGATATCAATATGGGTGACCCAGCGCTTCTTGGAACTCTGGGCCGGACCCTTACGTATTGGTGAAGTTCTCTTGCCTGTTCTTTTGGGGTGAGGCGCTCCTGGGTCCAAACCCTTCCTAACCATGCATCATTTCTGCCAGGACGCTATGCGCCTGTACTACGTGTGCACAGCCCCACACTGTGGCCACCGCTGGACCGAGTGACCTCCCCTCTCCCCCGAGTGTAATAAACACCAGATTCCATGCGTGAGTTTCCTGTGTTTATTTGCCTCGTGGGGAGGACGCTGGCACACCGTATCAGGCTGCGCGGTGCAGGGCGCGGTGCTGTGCGTAGGTGTCCGGCCGGGAGCTGGTGAAGCCGCAGTCCTCGCACACGTGCAGCTTCTCGCGACGCTCGCGGTAAGCGTAGCTGGCCGGCTGCCCGTGCACCTTAGCAAGGTGAGCTTCCAGGGAGCAGCGCTGCGTAAACGCTTTCCCGCAAGCACTACAGCGGAAGGGTCGGATCCCTGCACAGATGGGCGCAGAGGGGAGGGCTGGACAGAGAGGGCAATGGGCTCTGGACTAAAGCGCCCCTACCCTGCTTTCCAGCCTTATGCATTTGCGTTCCCTATTCCAAGCTCTTCAGACTCTTCCACCCATGACGCACCATCTGCTACCCTCACCCCGTGCAGACATGGGCCAGACACCTTTGTCCCCACCCTCCCTTACCAGGATGCTCTGTCCCCTGGGGGATGGAGAGGGAGGCCTTCCCTTGCCCTTCGATCTGGAGCCTGAATCGTATAACCGGCATCCGTCTGCACTCTGCATTCCTTGACAGGCCCCTATTTTCCTGCCACCTTACACCCACCCACTGGGGTCCGAGAGACATCATGTCTCGATTCCCCATACCCCACATACACAAACCCCGGACTCTCCACAGCCCAGCACCTCTCTCCATTTCCTTCCATCCCCACCTGGGGTCCAGCAACTTTTCCCTGTCCCTGCCACTGCTCACCAGTGTGAGTCCTCATGTGGCGCTTGAGATCGAAGGCGTCATGAAAGCCCTTGCCACAACAGCGGCACAGGTGGCGGCGCACAGGGCTGTGGCACTTGAGGTGCCTTGTCAGCATGCGCTGCAGAGGGAAGGCCTTAGGGCAGAGCGGGCAGCCCAGTGTCCCTGGGCCCCTGGGAGCAGAGGTCAGGTTGTCCTGTGTGGGCTGCTGGAGGGATGCAAGAGTTATTAGCCCCTCTGGCTGGACCCCACCCACCCTTTGTTACTCTGCAAATGGGTATTTACAGAGTGCCCAGAGCCACCACGGAAGATTAGGAAGGCAAGTGGGAGACAGTGATTAGTGTGTGTACCTGTCACTCTCCAGGGCCTTCCCTCACTATCCCATGGCCCTTACTTTCTCTATACCAATCCCATCTTCTGATGTGACATACACCTTTTTTTTTTTTTTTTTTTTCCTTGAAGACAGAGTCTTGCTGTGTCTCCCAGGCTGGAGTGCAGTGGTACGATCTCAGCTCACTGCAACCTCTGCCTTCCGGGTTCAAGCGATTCTGGTGCTTCAGCCTCCCCATGAGTACACGATTACACGATTATAGGCATGCACCACCATGCCCAGTTAATTTTTGTATTTTTTGTGGAGTTGGGGTTTCACCATGTTGACCAGGCTGGTCTCGAATTCCTGACCTCAAGCAATCCACCTGCCTTGGCCTCGCAAAGTGCTGGGATTACAGGCGTGAGCCACTATGCCCGGTCTACTTTTCTAACTTTACTGGGTTTTTTTTTGTTTGTTTTTGAGATGGAGTCTCGGTCTGTTTCCCAGGCTGGAGTGCAGTGGTGCAATCTCGGCTCACTGCAACCTCTGCCTCCTAGGTTCAATTGATTCTCCTGCCTCAGCCTTCTGAGAAGCTGGGATTACAGGCGCGTGCCACCATGCCTGGCTTTTTTTTTTTTTTCTTTAGACAGAATCTCGCTCTGTCACCCAGGCTGGAGTGCAGTGGTGTAATCTCAGTTCACTACAACCGCTGCCTCCCAGGTTCAAGCGATTCTCCTGCCTCAGTCTCCCAAGTAGCTGGGATTACAGGGATGTGCCACCATGTCTGGCTAATTTTTGTAATTTTAGTAGAGATGAGGTTTCAACCTGTTGGCCAGGCTGGTCTCGAACTCATGACCTCAAGTGATCCACCCGCTTCGGCCTCCCAAAGTGCTGGAATTACAGGCTGGCTAATTTTATTGTCTATACCTGCAGCCCCCAACCAGAATATAAGCTCCTTAAAATTGTGGATTTTTGTCTTATTCCCGCTGAATATAACGGCCCATCCCTAGAACAGTGCCTGGCTTTCATGAACATACTACATTCCAGCTGGCGCTTTCCTTCCTCCAATGCATGCACAGCTGAAATAGCCCTTATCTCCCATCGCACTCCTGTTGTCCCATGTCCTGACATAAAGCGGTTCATCCACATGTGGGGTTGAATCTTGTTCTGCCCCGCTGGACAGAGAGATCCCTGTGGCTGCCGGCCCTGGTGCCTGGGGTGGGACCTAACGGTAGAGAGCTCACTACCAGGAAAGGAGAGGCATTCCCAACAGAGAGAAGTAGGGGCAGACAGGTCCGGAGGCTGGAGGGCGTGTGCAGATGGGCCTGGGGAGCAAGGGACTGTCAGCTTCATTAAGGCTGAGAGCAGGCAGGAGCGAAACAGCTGATTTTGCTGGCCAGCTACACACTCACCGCTGTCCATGGATCCCTGACACTGGACGACTGTTGTGCCAGTGGCCTCCTCAGGCTGCTGCAGTCTGAGGAGAGAAGCCAGATGGTGACGCTTTGCGTCTCTCCTGCCCCTTACCTCCAAGCATGGTGAGGGGCCCACCTGGGATATAGGCATCTCCCCGGAGCTGGTCAGGCAGGTGGCTCCAGTTGGGAGGCTGTGGACGCCGACTCCTGACCAGGAAGGCGCGGGGCATGCCCTCTGGAAGGCTCTCCACACACAGGGGCTGCCTCCACCTGCTGTCAGACCTCAGCCCCAGGATGACTATCCCTGGTGGGAAAGGAGGGGAAGCCGCTGAGGAACCTCTTTCTCTTCATGCAAATTTCCTGACTGTCCCTGGGAGTGGACTAAGCTGGCTCGGGTTACTCTTGCCCAGGGACCTGCCCATCTTCTCCCGGGTTTTGGAGGTAACCGTCCAGCTTCCAGGGGTGGACAAGCACTAGGACCACCAAGCAGGGCCAGGCAAGGGGAGATGGGCCTGGGGAGCTTTTGGGCATAGGAAGAGGGAACAAGGCTCCAGGGGGGTTGAGTGTCTCCCAGGGGTTGAGGGTCTGTTTGCCAGGCAAATCAGTCACCAGGGGACATCCAGCAGCCTGCCTGGTTATTCAAATCACAGCAGCTGTCTGAGGACACTGAAGGGCCCCTCTGCTGTGATTGCCCTGCTCTGTAGGGTGCAGGGAGGACAGCAGATCTGGATAAATCAGGGCAAAATGAGGAGCCAGGCTGTGCATCCTCAGGCAGGACGCCCCACCTCTCTGATCTTCAGATTCCCAGGGCTAACATTCAGCCAGAAGCACTGTTCAGGTGTAGCAGGCACTAAAATACTAATTCGTTAATAATCTAGACCCTAGTGACTGCCTGGGACAACACTCTCCCTCCCTCCCACAGTCTGGAAAGTAAAAGGGGGTCTCTCTCTTTTTTTTTTTTTTTTGAGATGGAGTTTCACTCTTGTCACCCACGCTGGAGTGCAGTGTGGCACCATCTTGGCTCACTGGAACCTCCACCTCCTGGGTTCAAACGATTCTCCTGCCTCAGCCTCCCGAGTAACTGGGACTACAGGCATGCACCCCCACGCCCAGCTAATTTTTGTATTTTTGGTAGAGACAGAGTTTCACCATGTTGGCCAGGCTGGTCCTGAACTCCTGACCTCAAGTGATCCTCCTGCCTCAGCCTCCCAAAGTGCTGGGATTACAGGCATGAGTCACTGCACCTGGCCCAAAGGGGGTCTCTTGACACAGCCAGGGGCTCCCAGGACCCTAACCTGGCACACTGGCCAAGCTCTGTTCTACATTTGATTCTTAGCCAAAAGGCCAAGAAGCAATCCAAGCTCTGTCTTTTAAATTTTAATTTTTGTTTTCGAGGTGGAGTCTCGCTCTGTTGCCCAGGCTGGAGTGCAGTGGTGCGATCTCCACTCACTGCAGCCTCTGCCTCCTGGGTTCAAGTGATTTCTGCTGCCTCAGCCTCCCAAGTAGTTGGGACTACAGGTGCGCACCACCCGCCCAGCTAATTTTTGTATTTTTAGTAGAGATGGGGTTTAACTATGTTGGCCAGGCTGGTCTCAAACTCCTGACCTCGAGTGATCCACCTGCCTCAGCCTCCCAAAGTGCTGGGATTGCAGGCATGAGCCGCCACACCTGGCCAACTCAACAATTTTCTAAGCTCCAGACCTAGCTTATTGAAAATGATCACATAAGTCCATGAAGGAGGCACGCCAGTGTCAGCCCAGAATGACCAAGACAGTGAGAGGCATGTGAGGCAGGGACCCAGCCATGACGGGGTAAAGAGGGGTACCGGGGGACCCGGACAGGCTCCTGATCCAGCCTACCAGAGCAGGGATGGCTTCCTGGATAAGCCCTGAAAGGTTTCAGATGAAAGGGGAGGGTGTTCTAGTCAGAGGGGACATCTGTACAAGGCTTGCTGGTGAGAGTGTTTCTTCATTTCTTCCCATTGCCCGAGAGTCGGTTGTGCCAATTCATTTGGGGAAGCCAGGGTGGCAGTGCTGAGGGTCTGCTGGCCACTCATTGCCACTTGCTCTCTGGAGGACCCAGAGCAAGTGACTTCTTATTGAGCCTTGGTTTCTTCATCTGGAAAATGAGACTAAGGAGTCCCCTCTTCCCGGTTTGTATTGAAGATCCAGGTAGCTCACATGGAGACAATGCTTAGCATGGGGCCTGCCATGTGGCAGACATATAAGCAGTGCTTGGTTAGGAAGGTTTTTTTTTTTTTTTTTTTTTTTTTTTTTTTTTTTTTGAGACAGGGCCTTGCTTTGTCACCCAGGCTGGAGTGCAGTGGAGTGAACTGCAGCCTCGAGCTCCTGGGCTCAAGTGATCCTGCCACATCAACCTCCTAAGTAGCTGGGACTACAGGCATGCATCACCACACCTAGCTAATTTTAAAATTTTTTGTAGAGGCAGAGTCTTGCTGTGTTGCCTAGCGCTGGTCTCAAAATCCTGAGCTCAAACTGTCTGCCTGCCTTGGCCTCCCAAAGTGTTGGGATTACAGGAGTGAGCCACCGCATCCCGCTGAGGAACCCCTCCTATGGGCAAGCATCTAGGCCTCAGTTGGGTCATCTGCAAAATGGGGTTTCAGGTGGTGTCTCCATTTTGCAATTGTTGGCTTTCCTGCAGCCCTGACTGGGATGCCTGGTACAGGCCTGACAGCTCAGGACCCAGGAGCTGTCCTGATGGTATTGCTATGGGGAGGCCAAGGGTAGATGTGGGGGTACAAGCAGGGGGAGAGTTGCAGTGAAAGATGAACTGTTTTCCTTCCAGGGACCTAGTTCTCCAGGAACCCTCTCAGTCCTGTTCTGCCCTGCTCTGTGGCCTAGGAGGTGGACTGGGAGGCGGGGTCACCTGGGCTTCTATGCAGTCTGGCTTCCAGTAGGATTTGGACAATGGGGTGCCCTGCAGGGGGTGAGTAAAGTCAGGGTGTTGATTCTCACTCCCTCCTGTGTGGGAGTCAGGGCCACAGCTCCCTCAGCACTACCCTCTCCCTGGGATTTGCCCTTTTGGGTTCTTGTTCCTTCTGTTTGTACCTTGTGGCCTGGGGGTGGTAACAGTTCCCGTGGTGCCAGTCCTGGGGTTCTGCACCAGTCCCGGTGGTTTCCCAGTCCCTGCTGCTCCTTTGCAAACGATCCCTTGGTTAAACTCTTTGGAATATCCCATCTAAGCATGCTGTCATCTTCCTGCTGGGACCCTGTCAACTCCCAAACCACATGCACACACACTCCACCACCGGCAATGGCTTCTTAACCAGGTGGTTTGTCCGAGGAGAAAGTATGGTCCTTCCAGGACAGAGGCTGGCATTTGGAAGAGGGAAGTGGCAGACATGCTGGATCCTCTCTGATTACCAGCCCACTTGCCTTTCTTGCTGAGAGAACCTCTTTGTTTGAGCCGCAACATGCCCAGGACAGGAGAGATGGTCCAAGCACATCAAAGCAATCTCCATTCCTGTTGCCTGGGACTCATCTGACCCCAGATGAAGACTCCCAGGAGACCCCTGGGAGAGATCTGCATTTCTTTTCTGCTGCCCTAGAGGGCGCCCTGCTCTGTGCCTTTGCTCCTGGTTGGACCAGGCCACCCAGCAGCTGGGACCAATAACTTGGGCCTCTGACCCTCATGGAATTACCCTTCCTTCCAATCTGTATCATAGTAGAGCCTTCCGCTCCAAGGAGTAAACGTCTGGAGCCCAAGCTGGAGGGACGTTGGTTACTCTTGATGTCATTGTGCACCTGGCCTCTTCCTCTCCTGCTGTCACCCTCTGTGAGCCCCCTGCACTCCACCTCTAACCTCAGCCTCCCCACAGCAGTACTATCGGGACAGCTCCTAGGTCCTGCGCTTCCAGGCCTGTGCCAGGCCCCCCAGTCAGGGCTGCAGGAAAGCCAACAATTGCAAAATGGAGACACCACCTGAGGGTGTGCTGCTGGGTGCCACAGCAGCCGTGTTGCAACCATGAGGCCATAAGCTGGAGACTGAAGCTTGCTCACAGAGGATGATAGAGCAGGAGAGGAAGAGGCCAGGTGCATGATGACATCAAGGGTAACCAACATCCCTCCATCTTGGGCCCTGAAAGCCAGGCGTTTAGTCCTTGGAGCGGAAGGCTTTACTATGATACAGGTTGGAAGGAAGGGTGATTTCATGAGCGACAGAGGCCCGAGGTGGTCTCCTGGGTGTCCGGGGCATAGGGGGCTGGACACCAAGCTTTGCCCAGGGATGTTGGGCAAGGTTTTGGGCAATGGTGGCCGAACTAGGCAGGTGGGCCTGGGCCTAGGCAGGTGGTCCAAGTTCTGGACCACCTGGACTCCCTGAGGCAAGGAGTCATGAGAAATAAGCAACACTGGACATCCCCCCAAACATTAAGAGCAGAGATTTAGAAACAAACCCCAAAAAACAAAACACTGTTCTGGATGTTTCTTGGACTTAAATGTCATGAAGCAACAAGGCCCCGCCTGGTAGGGCCCTGCTCCTCCTCACACCTCATCTCCTGCCCTCCCATTGCTCACTCCATTCGAGCTGTCCTGGCTTTGCCCCTCTTCCTTCCACACAGATCACGTGTGGCTGTCCCTGGGCCCGTGCACTGGCTGTGCTGTCAGCCTGGACATGTTCCTGATATGTCCTCTATCAAGCTTCAGCCCAAATGTCACCTCGGAAAGGCCTTCCCTGACCCTTCACCAGCAATGGATCTCCCCAGCCTACCTAGAATTACGCAGAGCTCTAATTCCTGCATCTGTTTCCCTGTATAGAAGGTAAGTGGCCATGAGGGCAGGTGCAATGGCTGATGTTCCTTCCATTACAGTGCCCGGCACCTGGGTGCGAACTGGCAGGATTTTTTTTTTTGAGACTTGCTCTGTCACCCAGGCTGGAGTATAATGATGGCGTGATCTCAGCTCACTGCAACCTCTGCCTCCTGGGTTCGAGCGATTCTCCTGCCTCAACCTCCTGAGTAGCTGGGACTACACGTGTGCACCACCATACCCCAGCTAATTTTTGTATTTTTAGTAGAGATGGGGAGATGGGGTTTCGCCACATTGGCCAGACTGATCTCGAACTCCTGACCTCAGGTGATCCGCCCATGTTGGCCTCCCAAAGTGTTCGGATTACAGGCGTAAGCCACTGCGCCCGGCAGAATGTTTTGAACTGCAAGATTGGTCCTGATGTGTGTCATGTCATGGAAACAGAGAACCATGTCCTCGTGTTG